GGAAAAAGCGAACATTTTAAGTAAATATTTACAATATTTCAGTCGCAAAAATTCACTCAAGAGTATACATACATATATACAGTATACACATAGTGTGTAATTAACAATAAAGTGCATATGATTCAGATCGTCTACATTTTGTTCGGTACTCTGTTTTCTTCACGACCGGCTTGGGCGACCGATATAATATGTTCGGCGATTACGCTCGGAAATAAATTATTCGCTTAGCGGTTATAACTATCTGGCGTGGTTCCGATTGTTTTGAATAATGCTCTTGTTTTTAATGCGTTTTGGCAGGACCAGTGGCGTGGCTTGGGCGTTTATTAATAAGGACGGAGCGTTGGAGTATCGTGTTAAATTTGACAATAACGCAGTCACTGAGTTGGCTATTGGTAAGATTTTCAAAAATAGACGCACTCGATTTAACGCAATCCCATTAAACACGATCGTTTAATTTTCCTCTGCGTTATGCAGTTTCTAGCGAGTCCCGCGTGTCGGCTCTCGATATATCCGAGACGATCGTCCAAAACTGGAGCAACGGGACAGTGTCCACAGCGGGCCCGTTACATCTGGAACAGTTGTACGCCGAAGAGTTGAGCTTGTTTAGTGGATCGTCCGGCTTTAAGAATCGATTTATATGGAGACCGGTGGCTGATGCCAGAGACACGTCAAGTGCGATGCTTCTGTCCAACCCTGACGAACGGTCGATGGTCGGAATGTTATGGATGACCGTAGGGCCCGACTGTACACTGCAATATGAAGTAAGCTTTTTTGCTAATATTCCATGTATAGGCTCATCTCTGCATCTATCAACATAATCATATTAAACAATCGACAGGTGGTCCTATCCGGTTCCARCGTTAAAAATCGCATCTTTGAACTATATATCGAAGACTCGCCGATTTTACTTCCCGGAGCACCGGTATTCAAAAGACTCCTCGAGGAGTTTGAAGGACCGACGCTTGAAGGGTACACTATCGGCTTAAGCCAAGAAGAACTATTACGACTCAATGTTAACATCGTGCACGTTGACCTGTGGGATCCGAAACTGGGACAATCCATGTTGAAAACCGAATGGAAATATGTTAGTTATTTTGTTGAGTAAATGTAATCGTTTCTATCTATTTATTCAMTCGATATATTATTATTATCAGGTTAATGTCCCTGCAGTTTGTTATGCTCGCGAACCAGGCGATAACGATTCAAACAATATACTCATGAACGATGACGAAACAGATCATCCACATACGTCACATCTAAGTTGTTTACACGGTCAAAAGTACTATCAACATGGCGCCCAATGGACATCCTTAGTAGACGAATGTTTCATGTGCAATTGCCATTACGGCAAGGTGACATGCGACCTTATAATTTGTCCAGTAGTTCAATGTCCAGTGCCCTCGGCCAAACCAGGAATGTGTTGTCCAACGTGCGAAGGTAAATATAAAATACTCCAGTCTCAAATTGAGACGATGTCAGCGAAATCGTTTGTAAGACGTTTGATAAAGGCAATTTTATTCCAAATCCTACTCGTTTTTAATTGTGAGTATTGTCACATCCGCACAGGGCCGGCCCAAGGTATTTTGACGCCCTTAATCAAAATGCTCCATAATACTTTTTATACTTACCTACATATTTTGTTTAACATTCTTATATTTATGGATAGGTAAAGGATTGAAAAACTTATTTGGATACAATTTATAGATGTATTGGCTGTAGTAACATATACTTTTTTGGTTTTCCCGAGTTAATGGTTATATATGTATATCATTGTATATTATTTTGTAATTRTTTGTAATATAATAATAAAAACTGGAAAGTGGAGTAATATATATAACAGAATATGCTGTCATAGATAATTTAGTCATTTAGCTATATTTTAGTCAATTTGAATAAATATTACGCTAAAATGTATAAAATATATTCGTATATTAAAAGCGCCCCAAATAAAGTTGCGCCTCGGACAACCGCCCGGTTCGCCCGTATCTTGGGCCRGCACTGCATCCGTATGTATTGGAGTCTTTGTTTAACAGACCTGACATATTCAGCAGTACCAATTTTGTAACAGTCAGGTTGGTACTTTATCTTAAGAGTACCTATTATTAGAGTGAATTCATATATATAATTAAACTATAAATGTAAGCATACAACCTGTGATTGTGTGTTAGTTTTATAGGATATTTCAATTTTTAAGAAAGTTCTGAGAATTTTTGAATCGTATTATTTTAAATACGTTCCTAAACTCTGCTTTAAAACAAAAGTATAAAAAACCAATGTACAAAGGTAATATATTTACCTTTAAGACTTTAAGAGTACGCGATACCCGCAAGTGGTGTTTCCGTCTTATAAGTGTGTAACATGGCAAATTTTACGCTCAGCAGATGATGTTTAGCTCAGAAGGCTTAAAAATTAGTGTGAATATCTTTATATTTATAAATATTTTAAAACTGTAATTTTTTTGTACATCTTAAAATACTTAATTAATTCGCTTTGAAATTAAAATATAGGAAAAGCCCATGAAGTCGTCTAAATAATATTCTTATCTTTAAATTTTATAAGAGGTAAATTCACCGTAATTTTTAAATTATAAAAACAATAACAGAGCTAAACGTAAGAATTTGGTATGTTACACACTTGTAAGATGAAAACAACACATGTGGTCATCACGACTGAGTTTAATTACCTATAGTTCAATACACTTAAATAGTTTAATATAAAGATTGGTTCGGGTGCTCTCAAATCGTTTTTGTAGTACACATCGCCGGCGAGGTCTAACAGGGCCCAGAGTCCTGGACATTTTTTTTTTCACAAAACTAACAATTTTTTTTTTGGGGCACCCAAGTACTGATATGACATATTTTCTATTTCACATAACTTATGTAAACATTGTTTTTACGCATACAGTTAAACAAAATATTAAACGTTAATTCTTCAATATTTATTTATTTCAGATTCTGAACGTTAGGGAATGAATGTTTTGTATTTACCTACAATGATGTGTTTTYGATATTGTTGACTTCTTCTTTTCTGAAATTCAATAGATGGCTAGAATTTTAAAATTATTTTTCTATTATATWTTCATAAAATGTTTTCTTTYAATAAATTCATTAAAAAATTGAATAGATGATTCACCCCAATTTTTTTTTAGTTTRTGTGTATAAATTTAAAATTTTTACAATAATGAATACTCAACATTAWTAACTAACAATGAAAAAATTCTCATTAATCGATATTTTTTTAAATTGTATTGTAATTAAAAAATTAATAAGTTTGTCGTCATCATTAAATCCCATGAAAGGCACGGGATCTCTGGGCAGCAGCCCCTTTTGCTGGCATTGATCTTACGTTGGTAAAACAAAGACTAYACATGCACATGAGACCTCCCAAATATTTTTTCAAAATATGAAAATATTATAAAAATATAGGTTTTGACTTATGTTATACAAAAATGTGTGTGCTAGAAAACAACTGTTAGATGTACAAAAATTGTTTATACTTATTTTTTCATTAGATAACGCATTTGAAAATCAAAACATTTCAACAAATTCTTGCTTGCTAGCTGGACAGCAATTTCAAGCTGGCAGTAGTTGGCATCCATATCTACCTCCAAACGGKTTTGACACTTGTACACTATGTCATTGTAACGTTAGTAATTCAAAAAAGTTTAAAAAAATTACTTTTAATAATTTCATGTATTTGAATATTCAATATCACATAGAATACATCTTTAAAAATAAAGTGSCAACGTATGGACTGTCCTCCATTGGAATGTGACCAAAGAGTAGCTATCAGGCCAACAAAACGTTCCTGTTGTAAAGTTTGTCCATCCACATTGCAAACTACTTCTAAACCGACAGGCCCACTCGTTCAACTAGCCCAGGGCGACCAACAAGTCAATGTAGAGAGTGGGTCAGATTTAGAAATACTAACCAATGGTGGTTGCAGTTATCCTGTTGGAGGACCATATGAGAATGGTCAAGAATGGCATCCGAAGATATACTCACATGGAGAAGTCAAGTGTATAAATTGTAAATGCAAAGTATGTACCAAAAAATTGTATAGCTTAATGCTATCATTCAATGAAATTTTAAAACATTAGTGTTCAGACTAAATATTTTAGTTAGCCAATAATATAATATRCCAATAGAGTAATAGTATAGATGTATAGTAATAATATTGTGTTATATTATAATATATTACCATATTAAACTACTAATTATTACACATTAATCATCAAAATTTTATTTTATTTGACTGTAATATGTTTAAAGTTCAACTTAATTAAATTAGTTTTGTTCCTGTATTTCAATTTCTAGCAAAATTGTGTTTTACTGCAATATTTAATGAGAAATTTTTTCAGGATGGAAAAGTGAGATGTGACCGTAAAAAATGTCCAAAGTGGTCTTCGTGCTCAGATCCTTGTTGCAAATCTGTTTGTAGAAGGCACAAACGTCAACTATTTCAATTTTAAATATAAATAAGAATAACACATTGTTCCTGAATAAAAAAAAAATTAAGTGTAATGATGAATAGGTACAGAATAATTACAAACTTTTATATACAATAACGATAAGACTTGTCAAATAAGCAGTCTTAGACTTATGATAATTAATATATTATTATTGTTTACCGAAATCCATAGACTGATATACATAATATATTATTTTTCTTTTAATGGGTAGCTGATATTATGTAATTGTCAGTATTAATTTAAGAAGTTTGAATTTAATTGTAAACATTTTTAAAAAAGAACATTAACTTACTGTAATATTGTAAATATTATTTTTTTTTTTTTAATTTTAAATTATAAAATTGTTGGCTGTCGTGATAAGTAATTTTTGTTCTTTTATTGAATTTTTAGTAAGTCAAAAACATATTAATATTTTATTAAAAACTTGTTTTTATTTTTAAATGTGTACATTTATTTTTATACATATATAGATATATCTTAAAATTAATATTTATTTACATTTTATTGTTTTACTTTAGACAGAATTTTTTATAAGTTAAATTTAATGCATGTATATTATGTGTTATTACTATATCAATCTGAAATTTTAAAATGAATTTATTAAGACACCGAAGAATTCATATGAACATTATGTTACCATGGCAACAATAAATCTATTTAAAAAAGATATTTTTATCGTACAGTTTGTGTAATATATTAATTGCTTTATTTCTTTTTACCCGATCAAATCATTGAGCTGTATCTTGAACAATAAAACCGCACTCCATCCACATCAGTAGTAGCTCTGGTATACTTAGCCAACAGAGAATTAACATTCAATTTATCAGTAGACAATTTCCTATAAAAACAATATTTTATATACTGTTRAAACTATCAGGTTATTTTTTTAATAATACTCAAGGAATGGTTGTATTTCATTGAATGTCCATTTATCTCTGGCCTGAAATAATATAAAAAATCTTTGGCGTATATTGTCTGGTAAATCTTGTTCGTTGAAATAACAAATTGTCTGCGGATGACTGGATTGATCAACAAGCACTGTACCATCCAATTGTTTCAAATTAGTAATCATTCCTAAAAAAAGGCATAATATTGAACAATGTTATATTATGATGATATTAAATGTACAGTATTAGAAACTATAAATTAACCTTCCGGAACACTTCCTTGCCAGGCTGTCTTAAAATCAGTTAAATTAAATTTTTCACAATGACGTAAAAGTCCAACAGCCATAAATCTACACACTTTGTCTTCAATTAATGACCTATGTGTATGGCCTATAAAAACACAATATATTCAATTAATATATTAATGAATTTATCGATTATTTCTCCATTCGAGTACATATTTTTAAATTTAGAATAATATTTAGTGAATGCTGGTAAAAATAAACTGATAAATTTCAAATAAAAGTATGAAAAAAAATTGAATACCATAAAAAATTATTTTCAATAATTTATTCAAAATTCATTCATTACATTGTATTAAAAGTAATATTTTCTGAATATWCATGTACATTTATTAAATAGTATCTTATTTAGTTGGGTATTTAAAAATATTTTAAATAGAATTCTATTATAATAACAAAAAGCTTTTTAATAGAAAGAAAAAAGTTCTATGATTAATAAACTTACTTAAATTTGATGATTCACACCAAGTACTATATTGATCAATAATGTGTCGCAATATTACTGGAGGCAATAATTCTCCAAGAATATTGATAGTTTCATCCATAGGTACAGTATTATAAGACCATGACTGTTCATCAATTAAATTTAATAAAAATGATACAGCTCTACATTCATATTCAAAATCTAATATTCTCCAATAACCTGGAATAAATAATCATTGAAATAAATGATTCATAGTTCAATGGTTGTGTACGAGTTGATTCCCGGGTACCTGTTTACCAGCACTGTTACCGTTGAGTGGATTCCCGGGTGATTAAGAGGTACGTACGAGTTGATTCCCGGGTCATCAAGAAGTATGTACGAGTTGATTCCCGGGTCATTATATATTTTTTTCAATGTTTAGTAAAATATTTAGCCTATTAGCATAACCCAAGAAACACCACGAGAAAGTTGGCTGACAAGTTTCTCATAAATGTTGTTTTTTTCAGGTTTTTCATACTTTGAAAATCATTCAATTTTTATTTATTAATTATTTTTTGTAATATATTATATTATATTTATTATTTATTAAAAAAATTATAAAAAACATTTAATAATTTGGTAAAAATTTGTAACACATTGTTTTTATAAATTGGTATCTGGTAATRAGATTATACAACAATAGGGAATCAACTCATACCTACCTCTTGATGACCCGGGAATTAATTCGCACATACTTAATAATGACTCCAACTAATACATAAAATAGGTCTCGAGAATCAACTCACCTATCGCGAGTTCAACATAGGCTTTTTAATCGTTATTGAATTATCATTTTTATTTAAATTACCATCAATTTGGAATGCACCCATTTCTTTAAGCGCATCTTTTAGTTCATTATCACTAGCTTGAATTTTATCTGATAAATCTTCAAATGTATACATTTTACTGGATGCCAACACTTCTTTTTCGAGTTCTGATCCTTTATAACTACACTTTATCAGTAAATTTCTCAATTTAGTAAGACGTGGTTTACAAGGTTTCACTTCAAAGTATTTATGGAATATACCAACTACCTACAAAAAGAATATTTATCATAATATCACTATTTATATAAAATATATATTAGAGGTGGGCCAATACTAGAACCAATACTCGATATCAGTGGTATCAGGTTTATCAGTATCAGTTTTTTTTAAAGTCAATATTGGAACAGATACCTATCTAAAAAAATTACAAATCAACTAATATAATATATTAATATTAATAWAAACGATAAACTATATACACTATAAATGATATCCATACAGCTAACATGGATGTGATTGATTGGATACAAAATCTGGACATGAATCTTTAGCTTATAGTTCCAAATTCATCTCAGCTATAA